TCTGGATTGGGACTTTTCTTTTTAGGGAGATTTTTAATTGTTGTTTCTATTTCAGCTCTTGAGATTGGTCTGTTCAGGAATTTTATTTCTTCCTGGTTAAGGCTAGCGAGGCTGTGTGTATCTAGAAATTTGTCCATTTCCTCCACGTTTTCCAGTTTATGTGCATAAAGACTTTTGTAGTATTCATAAATTATATCTTGTATCTCTTTGGGATCAGTTGTGATATCTCCTTTTTTGTTCCTGATGGAGCTTATTAGAGATTTCTCTTTTCTGCTTTTCGTTAGTCTAGCCAATGGCATGTCAATTTTGTTTATTTTTTCAAAGAACCAACTTTTTGTTTTATTAATCTCCTGAATAGCTTTCCTGTTTTCAATTTCATTTAGTTCTGATTTGATCTTATTCATTTCACTGCTTCTGCTGTGTTTGGGGTTGGTCTGTTCTTTTTCCAGCTCTTTGAGTGGTTTCATTAGATTGTCTATTTGTGATCTTTTTGACTTTTGCTTATAGGCATTTATGGAGATAAACTTTCCTCTCAGAACTGCTTTAGCCATGTCCCAGAGGATTTGATAACTCGTCTCTCCATTGTCATTTTGGTCATAGAATTTTTTAATTTCCAACTTGATTTCCTTAATTTATGAGGTAATCATTTAGTAGGAGTTTGTTTAATTTCCACATTTTTGTGCAGACGTGTGAGTTTCCTAGGGTTGATCTCTACTTTTATTCCACTGTGATCTGAGAAGATACATGGTATGATTTCTATTTTTTTTAATTTCTTGAGGTTTATTTTGTGTCCTGTGATATGATCAATCTTAGAGAATGTCTCCTGAGCTAATGAGAAGAACATATATTCAATGAATTTTGGGTAGAATGTCCTGCAAATGTCAGTCAGACGCAATTGTTCTAGAGTTTTGTTTAAGTCAGTTAGTTCTTTATTAGTTTTCTGTTTGGAGGATCTGTCTTATGCCATCAGTGAGGTGTTGAAATCTCCGGTGATTATGGAGTTGCTATTAATCAATTTGCTTAGATCCAGTAAGGTTGCTTTATGAATATGCATGCACCGAAGTTGGGTGCATATATATTTAAAATTGTTATCTCTTCTTTTTTAACTGTGCCCTTCACCATTATATAATGACCATCTTTGTCTTTCACTACTTCTGTTGGTTTAAAAACTAAATTGTCTGAAATCAGAATTGCCAAGCCATCCTTCTTTTGGCTTCCACTTGCTTGGAATACTGATCTCCACCCTTTTACTTTTAGTCTATATGCATCCTTGCAGGTTAGATGTGTTTCCTGAAGATAGCATATACTTGGCCTGTATTTTCTTGTCCATTCAGCCAGCCTATGTCTCTTGAGTGGAGAGTTTAAGCCATTCACGTTTATTGAGAGAACTGATAGGTAAGGTAGATTACTGTGCATTCTGTTTGGTTGGATGTTGTTGCTTTGATTTCTCTCTTGAGTCATTTTAATATCTGGCCTTTAATCTCTGGGTTTTGGTTGTTTTTATATTCGTGAGTTTTTATTATGGTGTTCCGTGCATAACACTGTTTTGAGTACTTCTTGTAGGGTTGGTGTTGTCTTAGTGAATTCTCTGAGACTTTGCTTATCTGAAAATGTCTTAATTTCTCCTTCATATATAAAGCTTAGTTTTGCAGGGTACAAGATTCTAGGCTGGCGTTTATTTGTTTCATAAAAGTGAGAGTGGGTCCCATTCCTCCTTGCTTGTATTCTTTCAGTTGAAAATCT